GTGACTCCTTCTTCTTTTTAATTCACAACTGATTTTAAGGAGGAAGAAGACTTCAATATGAAAGCTTTCTTTTTCTTTTTAATCACTCTTTTATTTACTTTTTAATTGTTTCCCCCCTATCAGACTCTGAAAAGAAAATTATTTTTATCTTTATTCTCATTTAACCATGCAATTTTCAATTGCAAATAAGTACAACTTAAAACAGCATAATTAGAAATCGACTGAGTCAGGTCAAGAGGCTGGCATTCAGGTTTACTCCTTAGGAGCTGAAGAACGACTTGGCTCTCTCCTTAGCCCTGGAGAATGATGTTCAGTAATCTGCTTAGAGGTGTTATAAAACCATCCAGTGGGCTTCTGAAAACGAATGTTGTGAGCCTACTAGATTTATTGAGTTTATTTCCTCGTGTAAGTTAACTTCTTTGTTCAAATCTGCTGACTTGATCTTAGATGCATTTTCTGTGGATTTTTTTTGATCATTTCAAAGCTGTGTCAGCCAGTATTTACCCGGTGGCTGTGCTGGCTGGCAGACTGGTCCCTCAGTAACAGCTGAAATAGTTTGTGCACTTCTTTCCACGTGGCTCTGTTTCACTATGAGCAGCAGCTCATCATCCAGTGGCAGTTGCTATGTGACAGGACGTTACTCAGACCTTGGTGGTGGTACTGATCTTGCTAATTCCCTGTTCTTTCCTACTCTACACAAAGGTGAGGCTGTGTTTGCACGGTGCCTGTCGTCCCTCAAGGATGAGAGAGTGCAGGCCAGTAAGCTGCTGAATGGGCCTAAATTGACTCAGTTTAGTGGGAACAAGAAGGCATTTCTTGAGGACATACGCAAGGTGAGTCACTGTGTTTGCCAGAGCACTCTATTAAAGCTGCTGGTCAGAACAAGTTGTGGATGCTGTAAACTGTGATGAGGGGCCCAGGTCTACTTCTCATTCAACTTTGCGGGTTCAATTCTATTATTTTGTTTGTTTTAGGCCCTGTATGCTTCCAAGATTATCTCCTATGCTCAAGGCTTCATGCTGCTGAGACAAGCAGCCAAAGAATTTGGCTGGACACTGAATTATGGTGGCATTGCACTGATGTGGAGGGGAGGCTGCATCATCAGAAGGTAATTGAGGTGAAGAGCTGGTGTAGTTGCTGAGGGGCGAAGGGGAGGCAATTTACTTCATGCAGTGCTAGACTGAGAAGCCTAGAAATAAGAAAATCCATGGAGTTAACCTGTTGGTAAGGTTCTGGGGGTCTGTTTCTCTAGTCAGTATTAGAGATTACAGATGACACCAGTTTTCTGATGGCTGAGCTACTACAGATTTTCATAGGCTGAGTCAAGGCTTGGCATTTTTGATTCTAGGCCATTGTAGAAAGGTACACAGTTTGATTTCTGGTTTGTATGTATTCTCCCCAGTGTGTTCCTGGGAAAAATCAAAGATGCTTTTGATCGAAACCCTGAACTTCAGAATTTGCTGTTGGATGATTTCTTTAAGACAGCTGTAGAAAAATGCCAGGTGAGTTTCCGAAGAAGGAAAAACAAAAACCCAGCAATATGCAGTCTGAACTTCTGCACTTTGTTTCCTTCACAACTTTATTTTATCAGAAAAAATGAAAAGGTGGGAAAACTTATTTGAATCCTATTTATGCAGCATCCTTAATCCCAAAGATTTCTAACCAGTCTTCAGGCTATTTGTGTATTTTACCTGCACACATTTCTGAGCAGGAATTAATCATTTATGGCTCCGAGGTATCCTTTAATAGAACATACCAGTCTTAGAAGATGAGGATGAGAAATAAGCCATATAATTGAAGGTGGTTGAGACAACACAAGAAAATTATTGAGAATCAAATTAGAATTTTTCAACATGCTGAGGTTGGCGACCTGTCCTTCAAAATACCTACAAATGCCACTTGCCTCTTTTTCGTCAACAAGCTGAAAAGTGGAAGTGCTAAGTGAAGAAAAAGAGTTTTGCACCACTTTATAAATGATCATCCAGGTATATCAAGCAGCAAGTCAAGATCTTATGTAATATTATAAGATTCATTATCAATGTCAAGATAATACAGGAGCAAATAAACATATCATCATTGTTGTACCATGGTTCTTCTCTTTAGTTCTAGAGAAGCTACTATTAAAAACTAAAGATTTCCATTGTACCATTACAGAAGAACCCTAAGCAGGAATGTAGCAGTTCAGTAGAACCACAGTGTCAGGAAAAATTGTCCAGCCTGTATGAGCATTCTGATCACTGCCAGGTGCCTTGTGCCTGCTGTGCTTGGACTCCAGTGGTACAAAGTATCAAGCTTTGTTCTAGTTGTTTGCAGTAGCACCAAAATAACAGCGTGTCAAACCAACCATTCGTTAGGCTGTCCAAACAGTGCCCTGATTTGGGTGGGAGATGACAGGCAGAACTGAAAACAGATTATCTGGACCACAAAGAAGTCTTATCATTAATAACTCCTTTTATTGAAGCTGATTATTCCATGGAGGTTCCTAAATCAGGTGTACAGCTGAAATAATGGTTATCCACATGTCTGTCTGAAGCAACATGCTGATTTCTTGTGTTTGGGTGGTGGTTGTGTGCTTGATAGATGTCCTGAAAATGCCTCACTGTGTTCGTGTTCTGGGGATGCATGGATGATCTGTGAAGGAACAGCATTCTTGTCTCAATTGTCATTGGACTGCATGCAACGTATATGCCTGCACTTTTATTTGCTTGATTGCTGACTGGCTCACTTGCTGATATTTTGGATCAACCTTTTGTGTTAAATCAGGAATATAGCACTGTGTTTGCTCAGACTTAGATGTCATATAATGTGAAATTGCATGCAGTGTTAAACTGGAATGCTGTACGTGCTCACATGTATGTTTCTCTTTTTATTTTCTTTTTCTTTTTCTTTTTTTCCCCTTCCCCTCTGCCCCAGGACTCCTGGCGACATGTAATCAGTACTGGAGTCCAGTATGGTATTCCTATGCCCTGCTTCACTACAGCACTTTCTTTTTATGATGGATACAGACATGAAGTGCTGCCAGCTAACCTGATCCAGGTAGGTGCCTGAAATAGTGTGGTAAATCTTCTATCTACTGAAATATCAGCATGTTATTATTTAATTACTGATGTAAGAATCGTGATGGAGTTATCTCATGGTCACTCCACCACTGTAAAAATATAGGCCTTGATTGCCTAATATACTTCAAAACCTGAAATTCAAGCCAGTAAGATGCTATGAGATATCAGTCCATAGAATACAAGAGGCAGTGGTATGACAGTGCCCAGTGTGTGTTAGTGTTCTATCTCTAAAGCAGGGAGTAGTGTTGCTTTTGGATAAAAATGCTTTGTTTAAAAAAAAGAACAAAACAACAAAAAGCATACGTATCTTTAGAGTTCTGGATGTATGTAAGTCTTTCAGGTTTGTACATGTCAGAAGGAATACAGTTGTCTTTCTGCGAAACTGCTGATTAATAGATTTTAATAAATGTTTTATTGTAGTCTTTCCTAATAGTGATGCAATAGTTCTGAATGTTGTACCAGAGTCACATGTCATTTCTTGAATTCTTATGCTCGTGTCTCACTGTGTGCCATTTCCAGTACTTGTGTGGCTGTCATATTCATGTGTCTTCTTATGTTGTGTGTGTGTGTTCTTATTCTAGGCTCAGCGTGATTACTTTGGTGCACATACATATGAGTTGTTATCGAAGCCAGGTGTATTTATCCATACTAACTGGACAGGCCATGGAGGAAATGTGTCCTCTTCTGCCTACAATGTCTAATGGAAATATTCCCTCTAGAAGCTGAGATACTATAGATCTCAGATATTCCTCTGTGAACACCCCTTTTTACTGTACTGTTAGAACTTGCATTTGCACACTTTTGTAATAACTTGTGGGTATAATTCACATATATAAGAAAGCTAAATAAACCTGCTTGTACGTATGTTGAGATGTTTTTTTTTCCTTTGCTGCTGGCTAAAATGTCTTTGAACAGAATTTTAATGTGCTAATTCTTAATGCATTTTAATGTGCTAATATTTTTATTGTATTGTAGTGCATAAACTCATAGAATCAAGATAGAGAAGGCTGCATTTCAATAATTGCTAAAGTGGAGAGTGGCAGACAGTCAGCACAGTGACACTGCATGAGATTCCAGGGAGGTAAAGAGTTTTTCTTGTTGGTTCACAGCAGGCAGCAGCTGGCTTCTTGACAATTCGTTTCTGGGTATTGACCTGCACGGGGTCATGCACACTGCAAGCTGCTTCTTGTGAAAGGATGAAGGGTGGGATGGGGCATGGGGAACCTTGGTACAGATTGGAGGTGTCAAGACAGGTCTGGCTGTCAGTTCTCTGTGCAGCTGCAGTTCCCCGCTGATTCTTCCTAGCCATGTGTTGAGCCTCCTCCTGCCCCAGGCCAAGTAAAATAACCTGCAGCAGCATGCAGGATTGGCTCCGTTTTTCCTCTAATCCCATCATTTTAAGGACCGTTGAAAATTCACCTCAATTCTTGCACCTTGATTTCACAGAACCTGTCGTGTAATATGTTTTGAGCTGTGAACTGATGCCTGGATTAATTTTGTGCTCCCTTTAGCAGGAGAGCTGCTCAGTGGCTGAGTGCCAGTGTGATTTAACAAGGGACTGCTTATGATTTAAAGCGACTTTTTGCAGATTACACTGTAAGATCTAGGGGTTCTCCATAACACCAATGTTACTGCAGGCACTGGCACCTGAAGTGCTGTGGAAGTGTAAGCAGTTGCTGTTCACGTGCTTTGTGTTACAATTCTCTGTGGCGAGCAGTAGAAACGGCTCTGCCCGGCGTTACAGCGGAACTCCGCGTGCGCAGAGGCGTTTCGGGGTGGAACGGGGTGCTTCCACGCGTCCATCCCACTGCGCATTAAAAACCCACCCGGCTCCAACCGCGCCTGCGGAGCTGAGGGAGCGGCCTGGGAGGGGCGGGGCCCAACATGGCGGCGGCGCGGCTGCGCGTTAGCGCTGGGCGGGAAACTTCGGGCGGGCGGGCGATGGAGGCGGCGGGCGGCGAGCAGCGGGAGCTGCTCATCCAGGTGCGGCGGGGCCGCCTCTTGTCCTGGTCCCTCCGCCCGTGCCCGGCGGGGCCCGGCTGGTGGAGCAGGGGCGGGGGGCCCCGTGAGGGTGAGGCGCGGTGCGCGCAGGGCGGGCTGCGGGCTGAGCTGTGCGGGGCCGTCTTGTAGAGGCTGCGGGCCGCGGTGCACTACACGACGGGCTGCCTGTGCCAGGGTGTCGCTGAGGACAAGGGCGTACTGTTCAGCAAGCAAACCGTCGCCGCCATATCCGAGATCACCTTCAGGCAGTGCGGTACGTCCGCGTGTTACCCTGCGGCCCAACGGCGGCTGCTGGGGATGGGCTGCGCTAGGAGAAAGAGCCTCGGGCTCTCAGTGATGCAGAGCTTCTTGTGTCGTGACTTTACAGCTACAAGAAATAGTCATTCTGTTTTTCTTACCTCAAAAAAGCACTTAAATGTATGCGAAGTGGCCCATCTGCCTGTGCAGCAGTGTTGTGTGAGAACAAGCTGTGGTCACTTCTTGGTATTTCGTTTGACAATTTGCCATTGCACCTTTGCATTACAGCAGTATGTACTTCTTCCAAATCAGTCACAGCGTTCTAAAATACAACATGTCTCTCTTTTTTCTCCAGAAAACTTTGCAAGAGACGTCGAGATGTTTGCCAGGTATGTTGCAGGACATTGTGAAGGCATTTTTGCATTAGCCCGAATTATAGAATGTCCCATGCTGGAAGAGACCTTAAGGATCATCAAGTCCAGCTCCTGTCTCCATCAGACCAACCAAACATCAGGCAGTACATCTGATTTTAATTGCGTAATCTTTAAAATGTATTTTGCAGTTCTTTTTTAAGGTTTTAAAAAGCTCTCTTGGCTGATTAAATAGTTACTATGTAATTAAGAAATAGACATGCTGTTATGGGTTCTTCCTCATCTTGGAAGTCCACATGTGCAGTGTGAATGATTGTTTAGATTAGCGACTGCATATAATTGCCAGCTGTGTTGATGTGTAGCGGTGCTGGGTGGTTTGGGAGTGACAGATGCTTGCTAGCATACCTGTGGTTCGTCTGGTTGCTTCAAGGAGGTAAGGGAATGTTTAAGGAGTCTGTGACTGAGTGAAAACCAACTCAGTAACACACTGGGAAGTCAGAGTGATCAGCAGTGCCTGGTGTTCTGGTTACTGAACGCTACTGTTTCTGTGTAGTGTATTTAGATGTATGCATACATGACTACAACACAAAATTTTTTTTACGAACGATGGGTATCGTTGGTTTACTGGGTCCCTATTAGGCCCCATTAGTTAAACGTTCTCCGTGACTTTTTACACCTGGAGTTAGCAAACACATCAAGAAGTGTTTTTAAATTATATGCAGGCATGCAAAGCGAAGCACAGTCACTTCGGAAGACGTGAAGCTTTTGGCTAGAAGGAGCAATTCTTTGGTGAGATTCACTGTATTTTCTGCCTTACAACTTTCTCATACCTGTTGGTTAATTCCTAAGAGCATCTGAGTGATGCTCTTTAAATGTTGAAGTAACTGTTGTTTAAGCAGTTTAATTGGTTTATAGATGATGGATGGGCACGATCCCATGATTTGTTTTAATTTTCATCACATTTTTCTTCATGATGCTATGCCTCACTGTGGGCATCTGATTGCAATTCAAGCAACAATGCTCTGGTTGCAGTAGAGCTTCTGAGGTTCCAAATGTACGAATACAATAAACGAGCACTATTTTTTTTCCTGACATTGTATTCCTTTATTTTAGCATAAGGTCAGACCCAGTTTGCACCCGTGTCAAGGTGCTGGGTCTCCTAGTCAGATTAACATAGGGATGATTCACTTCATTTCTCTTCTGTGCTGGCCTATAGGAGAAGGCTTATCTTTGCTTTTTAAGGACTTTACAGTATAAATCGGTGCTGCTTTTAAAAATAGAACTGCAAATGAAGTTTTGAAAGCTAAATTGAATGCTAATTTTCATTTTAGGCATTTTTTTCCCTTCTATGTGATTTAAACTATTCAACAAGAACTCAGTGTGAAAGGACATAGTAAAGGTTGGAGCTGAATTTTTTGTTCTTAATAATTGTGCACTATTTATGTCAAGGTCTAATGTTCCTCATTAGACCACTGATTAGTTTATTTTTCTCAGCTTAAGTACATCACACAGAAAAGTGAAGAGCTTGCATCAAGTAACATGGAACAAAAGGAGAAGAAGAAGAAGTCCAGTGCAGCTAAGGGAAGGAGAACTGAGGAAAATGAAACACCTGCGACTGAAAGTGAAGATTCCAACATGGCATGATTTACCTTTCAGTAACTTTCTGGTCTTCCCTTACTATCCTAGAAGACCAAGGTTAGCCTGCAGTGATTGCTCTTGCAGATTAGCAAGCTTAAGGAATCTCTGTAATTTTTTTAGGTAAACGTGCTTAGTTACATTCTCTTGTTCCAAAAATGAAAGGACTGTCAGATTCCAACAAAGTTTACAGCCAAAATGCCTTATTTGTTCACTAAACAAAATCTTACTGTTATTAAGAAGAAACTCCTTTATTGATAGAATTTAAAGCAAGGCATAGCCACTGAGCATATTCACACCTCAGTATGAGCAACTCCCTGCAAAGGACAATTTAATTTCTCCAATAATTTTTTGACCTCTTCCTCGCTTCCATTTCTGACAGATTTGTTTAGCTATTATAAACATTTTCCTTTTTCATAGCCATATCTCTTGTTGCCTTGACAATTAAAGCATGTTCTGTGTCATTTCTCTCCTGTGATTTTGTTGATGTACAGTAATCACCTTCTGGAAGTTGTGGGGCACTTTCCAAACGTTGTGGATTACGGCTCCCAGTGGTGGTCGGAAATCGCTACTGCCCTCCGCCGGTCTGATGCAGGCTTACCAAATGCTGACTAAAAATTAATTCCTCCTACCTTCAGATCAATATTTCACAATGGCACTTTTAAATATCCTCCTGTTTCCCAGTCCAGAACTGCTCCACCTCCAGGGATAAGATGATCTTTTAAATAAATTATTCTACTGACTAATGCAGAGTAATCTAGATAGATGATGATGAACTGTAGAGATTCAGTATTCAACAGGAAGTTTTTCCTCTTGAAATGCTGGTGTTTCTTGACTTTTCATATATATTTTTTTAAATAATGCCCCTATACATTACTTTCTTGAAGTTTGTGTATCATCATACATTTCTTTCTTGAGGCTTTGTGTATAGTCATATATACTGGTCACCATATAGGAGATGGAAGAGTTTGTGATGTTTTAAGGAAGAAATCATTAATGCAGTGTTGAAGACCATTAATTGAGGCTACTCGTTCATGGCAAATGTATTTCTGAGAAAGGAATCTGTTACAAGGTAGGTTTGTCTACTTGGATCTGTAAATAATGAAGGCTAAGTTGGGGCTTTGATAGTCTAAATGTTTTGCCATTAACAGAGCAAAGCAGCAGCCACCCCAGCTTTTGCCTTCTGGCAATGTTCACAACCTGTGAGGCATCCCTGCCTCCTGAACACCTCTAAAATGTTCATACTTATGAATCATGTGCAGCACAGTTCCTGTGTTTTAACATTTAAACTTCTTAAAGGAAGATCATCAAGGAAATGCTAATTTTTGCATAGTTAGGGAACTTGCAGCTTAAATGAGCTGAAGTGAATCAAACACTTTTCATCTATAAAACATACATCTAATTTAGTGTTAAATTAAATTACAGAGCATGGTTTGTTTCTCCTGATTTGCATATGCTAGATAAGCAAAGAGTGACCAAATATCATTTTCTGCTTTGATCTACACTTGTCTCTAATGCAGATGGTTCTTCAGCTGTCTGTTGTCCTCGGCTACAATTTGTCACTTTGACTGAATGCTTGTGCACGTAACACTGCTGGAACATGGAAGGTGCTGGCTGAAAGCCTGAGGTTGTGCACTGAAATGTTTTGTGATTGTTTGATGTAGAAACATTAGATCTGGCAGCAGGTCTCTGTTTTCACTGACAGGGAATTCTAGCTCTGAACTGATGTTCAGAATAGAATGATCAGAAGCTACCCAAAAAAAAAAAAAAAAAAAAGCCAATTTATAAGGATAATTGAACTGCTACATTTAAAAATGCCATTGAGGTATTTTAGTTTTCAGCTTTGATTGATTGCACTGTTGAAATAGATCCAAGCAGCAGTACATAAGCTTGACCATTAAAAAATGATTTTCCATAGAAATTAGGGGATGAGATACAGCACTGAAGTCCGTTAGCCTATTAGCTAATTGCTGCTCATTTTTCACTGAGACATTTGAAGAATGTTGACTGTAACAGAGCTTTAAGGAGAGTTAAGTACTAAGTATGTGCTCTTTGCAGATGATTCAAATTACTCCTGAAAGTTCAGCTTTACTGCAGCCCCCATCAGCTTATAAAAGTCTGATTATTTTGTTACTGTAACAGAGTGATTAAGGAAAAAAGTATCTGTTTAAATCATACTATGGTAGGCCCAGTTAATAATTTAATTCTGAAGTTTAAGAACTGCAATATTGAATAACTTGCAGGCATCTAAGTTCTAACCTTGGTAACAGAAAAAAGGAGAAAGCAGTGAAAGCCTCTATTTGTTTTCTTCTTAAAGTCAGATTTGAAGGACCATCACTGCCTTCTACAAGAAGTATCAGCATGGTCTCTGTGACTTCCAGCTCAGAATTTGCCTGAAGTAGGTGAGTTCAATACTCCTAATACATGCAGGATGTCAGTAATTATGCTGTTATTTTAGGTGCATGTGAAAAAGCTCCGGGTAAAATCCTCCTTTCCTCTTGTACAGCACAAGCAGCAGGATTTCCATTGCTTAGCTGAGCTAGGAAAAAAAGCAAAGTATTGCAGCCTTGAGCAAGATTGATAAACTAGTTGATAACAGGAAGAATGCGAGACATGAGCTCACAGAAAAGCCTGCTGACAGCTGGTATGCCTAGTGCACCCAGTGTCATGAGCTTTGAGCGTAATAGAGCATGCTTCAAAAATTGTTTATGGACAGCTGTATATGCTCTTTCATAAAGGCTTGAACATAAAAAGACTGTAATAAGTAGCTATTAAAAACAGCAGGAAACTCTTTTACCTGCCATGGCCTGCAATGTTACAAGCCAGAAATATATACTGTATGAAGCAATTATGTGCCTTGGCAAAACAGGCTTCAAGAAAGTGACTGCAAGCTTCCCTCCAATTCCAGTCAAGTCTCAGTGGGTTCTTGCCCAGAGGCACTGAACTGGCAAGGATACACATTAATTACACAGGCAGTCTGACTTTGTATGTGCCACAATCCAACTCAAACCTACATACAGCGGGTTCATCTGAATGCCTGCTGTAGCAGTACTTAGCAGGAGGCAGCCTGCACCATTTGAAGTTATGTTTCAGTCAGTGGGTTTTGTGTGGTAACAGAAAACATCGATAGCTATAGAAACATTAGGTTCTGTCTTACCTTTCAGATTATTTCATGTCCATCTCCCAAGATGGAGAGTTCTGGTGTAATGTTCACAGCGGAGTGAATGCAGCTGTACTTCCACAACATTTTTGAGTGAGTAAAATAGGGAACACTTCTGTATTTAAGTTCTACAGTCCTTAACATAATACTATACTTACTGGCACATTCTTTAATCATAGCAGCCACATCAAAACTAATCCAACATTTTAGTACAAAAAAGTTTTAAAGACATGAGAATTCATTCAATTTAAAAACAAGCAGGTTAATGCAGAGCTGTCATGATGATATACCAATGGTTAGAATACAGACCAGCCAAATACAAGTCTTCTGCCCTACAGCCATTCAAAACAAGCATTTCCATTTTAGCTGTTCTACAAATTAGTGCTTGCACTACATTGAAAGATGCAGGAGTTTTTTTACACGAAAAATAAACAAACAAAAAATTCCCCATAACCACAACAAAAACACAGAAGAGGTTTTGATTTTACTTTAACAGGTAAGATTAGCATGAGAATTCCAAGTGCCTAGATGCCAGGCTAGAGATTAAAGGAAGCAGCTGGAAAAACTGCCCAATGCTAGTATCACAATAAATCCCTCAAAAAAACCCAACCCCCCAAAAAACCCAAACGTTCTGTGTTCAGTGAGCAATGATCAAAATGCCTGCTTTCTGTTCATTAACGATGTAAATAATTTTCATCCTTTCTGCTGAAAATTGTGGGAAGGTGAGCAGACTGCCTGAGGCTTCAGAGCTAGATCAGCATTATCAGATGGAATTTTCTGGCTCCTACCCCAACGAGCTATTCAAAGCTCAACTCTTACACGCTGTGTTTAGCAATACCATTGTTTTACTACTCTGCAAAAAATCCAAATCCCTTTGGTTACACATGATTTGAATCATCACAAGTATTTATGCCTCAGGACAACATCCAAATTTGAGTTTTCTGCAGCCAGACCACAGTATGACCAGCAAACCATGGCTCCCAGGACATACCTTATTTCTGTTGGTTCTAATTAAAAAAAAAAAATTAAAAAAATGCAACCGACAACTACTTGCATTTCCCTGACACTTGAGGCAGAACTACAGTGTTATTTTCTGCGTTTTGAACTAAGCCCATCTCCACAAGGCAGTGCTTTCTTGCCCCTTGATGCGCTCCTCAGGGAGTGCAAAGTCTGCACTTGCTGTAGACGCTTGCAGAGCTCCTGATCACAGGCTTGTTGTACAGCTTCAGCTTTCTGCTTGTCCCAGCCTAAAGCTGCAGCCAGGGTTTGTGTGTCTTCTTTCACCACCAGCTGTAAGAGACAAACTTGTAGCAGTGCTGCCCACTGATGCTCTAACACCACAACCCCCTGCCCACAACACACTTAAGAACAGCAGTAATGAGACACCTGTTTAATGCCAATGTAGTGTTGAAGATGTTTCCAGCTTACATCTTGTATCTCTTAGGCTAATGTATTTTTCTTTATATCCTACCAGTACTTAGAGCTCTATGAAGTACTTGAAGCTCTATGTTCAAACTAGCAGAAAGCAGTTACTTTGTTTCTGCAGCAGAGAAAAGTGAGATTAACAATTTAATATCATCAGAACATTTTCTCATGGCTAGCTTACAGACTTTCCTTTTTGTGCCCCAGAGGCTTCCCCTCTCAACCCTTCCTCCCAAGAGGAGAGATTTGCCATGGTTGTTGACATGACTGTATGATCCTCACCCACCTCTAGAGTCTGACTGTCCAAGCAGAGCTCTGGGGCAGGTTTCTCTTTTAAAACTGCAAAGATCTGATCACTGAGGGCTGTTCTGGCTGAAGTCCCTGCACTGCTGGAACCTGTGTCAACCACATCCATCTCCTTTCCTGGTGCACTCTCAGACTCTGAAAAACAGAAGAATCATTACGGCCACACGCACAGGACAGGAAGCGTAGTCCAGACTGCACTGTTGTTTTTGAGATTAGATAATGCAGCCTCTAATTTAGGAAATCCATAATATTAAGGATGACTACACTGTGTAAGTTTTCCCCCATATTCTACTTTCAGGCACTGTAAGCAATGTGACAGCAGTGGAAGGACTCCTGGTCTCTGCCATTCAGAGAACTCTTCCACTACACCAGCTATTCAATGATGTTCATAGCAAGCGACTCGCCCCAGTCCTTCCCCCACTTATTTGTCCCACTCAACTCCTTCAGGCTTCTCCGAGAAGCTCCTTTTTCAGCATCCTAATGTTCCCTACCTGCTACTTTGCTTAAGATGTTGTCTTCATTTTTCAAGGCCTCTAAGTAGAGTTCCAGGAGCTGCTTTGACTGACGTTCCTCTTCTCGTCTGTCCAGCACCTGCTGCAGGGTGTCCTGCAATACCTGGGTTTTGGCTTGACTTTGGGCAAGTTCCTCTGCCAGATCCGAACATGGTACATCAATAAGCACCTTAAAACAATAGGAGTGCTCCTGATATATGGACTGAGTGAGTAATTCCATCACACTGATTACAGCACAAACAACAAGCCCGAAAGCCTCCACCTTTGTGAAACCTTGTATATTTCACAAGGTTTTCACAGCAATCAGCCTGGTTATGAAAAGCTGCAGTGGCATTCCAGCAGCCCAGAGATATTCAGGAAGGTGCAGAATGGTGCATTTTTAACATGATGATTTTTTGCCTGACAATTCCAGGCAAAGTACCAATTCTTAAGTGAGTGTAGAAGCACACAGAAGAAAGCCAGCAGGCTGGCACTTAAGAATCTGCATGCTGCAAGAAGGGGCAGAATCACAAAGATATGCTGTGAGGGATAATCAGTGGTTTAGGGCATCTTCCTCGAGCACTTATGCTGTCAATGCAAAAAGGATTCCCCCTCAAGGAGAAATTTCACTTTAGCACCACAGCCAAAGAAACAACAGCTGAATTAAGCTTTGAGATCCAATTTGCTTATTCTGTTTTGTGCCATTCTTTGCAATGTATGGACAGGCTTGGCCCCTGCTTGGTCTTCCCCTCTGTACCTGCAGGTCTTCTTCAGACATCAGGATGATGTTGGACAGGTCACCCTTCAGCTGCCGGGCCAGCTGCCTCCACCTCTCTGCACCGCTGTCCACTTCGTCCGCAGGCTCTGAGAGCCAGGTCGATCTGCATTCTGCCATTAACATCATCAGCCAAAAGATGAAAGCACAAAGCTATCGAGATCGGAACGAGAGCCATTACTTCCCATTTACAGCTATTTAACGCTGCTTTTTTTTTTACGCAGTGTCAAAACCGGACGGTGACATCTGTCACAGAGCAGCTCCTTGCTAAAACGAGGCTCTCTGGCTCGGCTTCCCCGCTCAGATGGTCGGGGGCGTAAAATCTGGGGCAGTTTGCCTCCTGTCTGGGGCCCTTTCTCGCTCTCACAGCCCCACGCAGCCCCGCTCGTACCCGGCAGCTCCGCTCGCCGCCCCCATTTCTCCCCTCCGGGAAGAGCCGCCCCGCGCCGCCGCTACCTGCGCTCTTCCCGGACCACCTCTCGCCTTTGGCCAGCGCCACGAACTTGGTGTTGGATGGCAGGCACAGGAAGTAGTCCTCGTCGTCCACGATGGTGCCATCCTCCGCCAGCACCAAGGTGATGGGCCGCCCGTCCTCGCCGATATCCAGAGCGCGGCCAGCTGCGCGCAGAGAAACGTTCAGTGCCGTTAGCGCCGGCCCCGGGCTCTTTCAGCGGGCCGCGCCCGGGAATCGCCGCCGCTCACCCTTGTCGCGCAGCTCCCGCAGGCAGGAGGCGGCCAGCCCGTGCTGCTCGCGCCCGTCGCCCCGCCGCACCACACACGGCTTCATTCGCGCCGCCATGGCTGAGGAGGGGCGGCGCTCGGCGCTTATTTCCGCGGCCGCCTTAAAGGGACAGGCGGCCTGGGCCGCGGCGACGGGCGTCGGTGGCGCATCGGTAGCGCGGCGCTCAGCTTGTGCTGCCTGCGGCGCTCCCGGCGGCGGGGCGGGCGAACCATCGTCTGGGCGGGCATGGATTAGCTGGGCCTGGGAAGATGGCCTCCTCGGAGCAAGCGGAGCAGCCAAGCCAGGTACGCGGGGCCGGCGCTCTGCCCGCTCTGCTCGGGCAGCGGGGCGGGTGGGGCCGGGGCGCCGCCACCTCCGCGGGGGAGCGGTCGGGAGGAGGGCTGCTGGCCTCGGCTCGCCCCGCCGCCTCCTCGTGAACCGGGGCTCGCGCCGGCCCTCTGCGCTCCCGCCCCCCGCGCGCGGCCTCGGCGCCAACCGCCTCCCGTGCGCCGCTCCCCCTCACGGTCGCCACCGGCGGTCGCTCCCGGGCCGTTGAGGCGCGGAGCTCTGCGGGAAGCGCGGCCTCGAGGGACGGAGGAGGGGAGGAGGTTCCAGCCTGGGAGCGGCTGCCCGGGCCTCGGGGAGCTCTGGGTGTGTGGGGGTAAAGCAGTCGAATGGGGGGAAAAGAAGTCGGAACGAACCAACGCAACGCTCGAGCGGAGAGAGGCGAGGCAGTGCGCGAGTCAGGTGGGTTTGCACGTCAGGTGGACGAAGTGATTGTGCCTTGCAGCAGCTGGGGAGAAAAATCCTTGAAGCAGTGGCACCAAAGGGCACAGCAATGACGGGAGCGATGCAAACCCTGTCCATAAGTGAGTGAGGGGCGCTGGGAGAGGCACTGGCGTGTTGCCGTTACTGGGTGCTCAGGGCAGGTACTGGAATCACTGGGGTTTCGTAAATTGGGCCCTGAAGCGAATGGGGGAGGCAGAGGGGAAGATGGCAGCACGGTGGAGTTGCACTTGCTGTGGGTTTCCAGCCAGCTGCGTTTGGGCTGGAGGGGGACCTTCAAAGGCTGTGCCATGGGACTGAGAGTGCAGTGTAACCCTGTGTCACCACGCCGCCAATCGAGCCCAGATGCAGGGACCTGGCAGCCCTCTGATAGAGCACTGTGCAGTACCACAGGAAGGCTGTAAAACCTTGAGGCGGTTGCAGAAAAGCCTTTTCTTGGAGGTGAAGGCTGTGGGAGGAACAGGGAGGAAAACAGCAGATCTGCTTTGCTTTTCTGCACAGTGATTCACATCTGTTCTCATTTGACTGAATCACCACTCACCTTTCCATTGGTACTTTTATTTTGGACTGAAGAAGCTAAGTTTGTAGGGAGCATTGCTGAGCTAAATGGAGGTGGAGATAAATTCTATAAAGCTTGTGCTCTGAGCCCTGGGCTGTGAAAGGCTCCGTTATCAGGCTACTGGTCGGCTTGCTGAACAGTTCTGCACTGGCCATGTGCTTTCATCAGTAGCAGCTTGAGGTACAGGCACAGCAATCTGTTCCTTGTGCTCTGGGTGAGCGCCGTCAACAGGAGGAAACCTGAAACGTCCTCAGACTGATCTGTAAGCCACTGGGCAGTCTCTGAGGCAGCTGTCTGCAGGTTTCCGATAAAGAAGTCTGCTTAATTGGTAAATATGATTGCCTGAGAAATATTTGGGTTCCCATGATATCACGTACTCTCACTGCACCCTTTAAATCTCTGTTTTATACTTCTTTAGTATTGCTTTGCCTCAAAAGGAGGCTCGATGTTTGCATTTGTATGCAGGCTGTTGGAAAGTAACTTTTTGCCACAGAGAATTTGCTGTGTCTAGCTCCTGTGAAGAGAGAGTGGGTTCCAAGCCACTACAGGAGAAAATGGGCACTTTACAGCTCCCCTGCTGGGTTCTGTAACGTATACAAAAGCAACAGCACATCATTTGTGCCCTGTGTACCTTTTGGCCTGTCATGGCCTCCTTATGGCACATCCAGTTTGTAGGGCTCCTTTGGTGTTGTGCCTGGTTTGGGTACAGGAAGTACTGATGGGTTCAGCTGCAGGACAGCCATGCTCTGTGCACCAGGAGCAGCCCTGTTTGTACTGAAATTCCTCCTTCCCCATGTTGCGTGTTAGCATGGGATGGAAAGGTTGTTCTGTCCAAGGCTGTCAGGCCCCGCTCTCCTCCCCCATCGCTCTGACATTGATTGCGTATCTTCATCCAGAACTGCAGCTGGGGATTGTTCAGTGCCCTCAAATCTGATTAGATTGGGTGGGATTGGCGAGAAACCAGTAGGTTTGGCCAGGAGCAAAGGGTGTAATCTGCAATTAAAGGATATGTAGCTACAGTAGATGATTTCTTAAGGGGACAATTTTGCAATAAAGCTTTTTATCTTTTTATTTTTTACCAGAATATGAATACCACTCATTATATGCAGCCGCTGCCGTTTTGACACTGGTACCAATGCATGTAACACACTAAACATGTAAAGAACTTCAAAAATATATTTATTTTCTACCCCTTATCATGTTTGTTTATTTGTAGTCAAACATTCAACACGAGCCTGTGAGTGGTAGAACTGTCTTGCTTAACATGTTTATGTTTGGATCCTATCATCTGCTATTACAAATCTAGTTAGTTTAGCTGCTGCAAAGGGAGCGTCTGATATCTTTTGCCTTACTGTCTGTTTTGTCTCATTTGTCTCATTCTCATGAATTAATGTATTGCCTCAAGCATTGCAGAGAGTGGTGTTGCAGCACAGATGAAATCATTGACATAGATAGGATTATGCTCTAAAGGCAATAAACGTTTCTGCTACAGATTTTAAATAAGTTATTTTGTTTAGAATTCATATTCCTTGGGCTTTTTAGTAATGTTAATAAAACAACAAAATAAAGAAGGAAAAAAAAAAGAACAGCCCCTAAAAGGGAAGGGTGATCAAGAGGATGATGTGGGCTGTGAACAGAGTAACCGATTTCTGGCCTCTCTGGGCTGTCAGGATTTCTTTGGTGCTGAGTACTTGGACCCTATACTGGAGAGTGTGGTTGGCTCAGCCAGCAGCAGCTCAAATCCTGTTTTCTTTCTGAAGCTTCACTGTACCCACTTTGGGCCCAGCCTGCCATCTAGCTGTGGCTTGCCTTCATGTAGGGAAATAATTAAATTTCAAAGGCGTTGAAAGGTGCCTGATTTCTTGCTCCAGAGTTGCACCTCTCTAGTTGCATCACTAGTTGATGCGTAGGTGAATTTTCCTCCCCTCTTGCCTCAAGCTCTGGAGTGCTTAGCCTTGGAGTTTTCTGCTGTGTGCGTCTTAAAGGATGGTTTATGGTATGGGATATTTGGTCTCTGGACTGTGATGGCCATTGCTTTGGTAAACACAGGCTATTGAGCAGCCATCGCATAGAAAGGATGGATTCTTCCCTGACTTATCTCAGAGCTCCCATGTGCCAGAGGGTTGCTGTGCTCTGCCTTATGACACCAGTTCCTTTACTGTCACAGTGCCTTGTGTGCACAGATACCGCAGGAAGGAAATGCAGATCTCATTTGAACTATTGGTAGCCTTGGACGATACAATCAAAATACTATGGATTATCCAGCTAATCAAATATGTCATCAGGCTGTTGACAAGCACATCAGAATTTTTGATTATGTGCTCTCAGAACTCTGACCTACCCACATAATACTTATTTTCACACATTAACCTGGGCTCCATTCCAGGTGCTCTTTGGGCAGTTTCCCAGGTTGGCTAAAGGCTGCATGTAAGTCTGTAAGTGCTGGTGCAGCTCCTGAAGGCAGAACAGATGTGCTCCTGTGCACGGGAGGCTCTGGGACTTTTCTGGGGCTGTGAATCCCATGGAGATCAGTGCAAGGGAATGGCTTCTTTCTGTGTGGCTTTGTTCCTTGCAGCTCTTTTCACAGTCAGCTTAAGTAGTTCAAATGCTTTGGATTTTCCTTACAATGTGCATATTCTTTGAAAACCCAACACTTAACCCAAGTGTCTTGATGGAGTAGTTCAGTGGAGGTAGCTGTAGGTGCCCTTTGGAAGCATTCAGCAGCACTGTCTCCCTTGTCTCAACACTTCTGACCCTGACAGCAGGTACACTGTGCATATGGAAATAGAAGCTCAGCCACAGACTTGAAGGGAGAAGTGCCCTTTTCTTGCAGTCACGTGGCATTGCCTCCACCACATCGGTCAGCGTGATTCGGGTATGGTGTGGAAATGGTATTTGCAGTCACTGAGATGAACTGATAGTGGCTGATTGATAAACATTGGGCAAAACAAAACTGGAGGTGGCTGCATGGGGAAAGGACGAGAGCCTGCAGAGATCACTGCCCTGCTGTGGGAGCTGGCTGGGCCTGAGGAGGATGCGTTCGGGTCTGGAAGTAGCAGAGATGGATATGTTTGTGTTACTGGCACCCTCTTGTGGCAAATACTCATTTCTGTATGTTTTTGGGTGGTGGTTAGATGGCGAAAAAAGAGACTGGAGCTGCTTTGGAGGTGTGATGTATTGCATAAGAGTGCATGTAGTTGAGGTCAAGAAGTCACTTAAGGACTCTGTGGTATTGCTGTGTAGCTTTCACTGTACTCAATGAATAGGATCTCCTTTCTCTAAGTGAGCCTCAAAACGTGTCATCTTTACCATTAGTATTATTATTTCTTCATTGAGGCAACCAGAACATGACTGTTTCCCTTAGGAAGAAAACACAGTGAAGGCAGTACAGCGTAGCCCATCAGAACACACATGAATCCCATTAGAAAGTAGATGGTTGATAGAAGATTTTTATGCCGAAATGGAGTGTCTGTACCTTGGGAGAGCTGAGACATGGTGGTTATGCAGTGATCAAAGTTTGCATTTGTTATGCCTGCAGAGTGGAAGCTCCTGAATTTTAAGTGTAATCCATCTTTAGGCTTGCTGTCCTGCAGTCACAGAATTAGAGCAAAGTACCTTTGCATCCACTTCTGTAGCAATACTTTGGGCTGTTTCTGTCCAGTATCTTTCTTCGATCATCTCAAAAAACCTTTGCAGATGTTAAGGACTTACTGGGTCCCTTGGAAACCAATCT